ACATATATATATATATATATGTCGTCTTAACGTTGTTAGAACAACGGGTAAAAGTTGTAGCTAGTGATGAGTTGGCCGACGCGTTTCGAATGCATTCTGCATCCATTATCAAGGCTGAATGTTGTGTGAATTGTGATTACTGTTGGTGGATATTTATAGGTATGGGTAAGCAGGTGGTGGTATCTAGCTCATGGGAGGCGTTAATTGGTGAAGTGTTGTATTGTGGCTTGGGGGTTTCTTGCCAAGAAGTAGCAGTGTGCGTGCTGTTCTTGTCGATTGTTTGTTGATCATGGGAGTTTGCTGTAGGATTTTTATTGCTTCGTGAATTTGAAGAGTTGTGAAGTCGTTAAATCGGCGGTTTACTTTGGTGTTTTGTACTAGGTCCTGATGTATCATGATGTTTTGATAGGATGTAGAATTGAGCTGACCCAATACACTTAAGAATGTCCTTTTTTGATCATGTTTAATATGCTCTTGATGAGATCATCTATACTGTCATACTTTGGAATCTTACAAATATTATATATTATAATATGTACTTCTGAATATCTAACAGGTAACAGGTAGGTATCTGTATAAATTGTTATTCTATTCATATACAGTACTGTGCAAAAGTGTTAGGACAAGAGGATATTTTGTCCTTCTTTCCATTTTATGGGGCTAATTCTTCCATATAATTACAGAATGTAAATTTCAACGCTATGGTAATACTTCACTGATCCCTGTTGACAACTGAATGAGCCAGGGTGAGAATAATTATCATTATTTAGAATTCCCATATACTTGTACCAAGGGCATATCGTGAATGAACGTACTGATTAAATTTAAAGTCTGAAATAACTGTCATGGTACCCCATGCAGTGTCTTAACTATATAGAAAGAAGCTAGCAAGGAACTAACATATGATACTGGTACGTGCTAGAAGAAATTCATTTAATAGCACTCCACAAATAAATCTTGATAAAAACAGTGTTTAACACTATATGTATTAAGTTTTGTTGTCATGTCATGGCCCAAAAAGTATAGAGAATTGTCAGAGGTGCAGAGAGTTCACATAAATGCTTTACGTGATGCTGGTTGGACTCTCCAACAAATTGATGCAGACTTGAAATGATCCCCAAACACTGTCAAGTACACACTAGATCGTAAGACTGAGACAGGTAAGTTTGATAATAGGAAAGGAAGAGGCAGAACACATAAACTCAATGATACTGATGTTAAGTACCTTCGTTTATGGAGACTTCGGGACAGAAGGAAGACTGCCACTGATCTCA